AAGCCAATGTGACCTGAAGATGTTATGAACTTTCTTCAAAATATCTTCTATTGTGTTCCACAAAAGAAAGAGAGTCATACAGGTTTGGAGCAACATGAGGGTGAAGTTGACAAGCTGTTGTACCCCTAAAGATACATTTTTGCACTTTTTTCCTGACAGTAAGGTTTTGACTGGTTTTACCCATTTGCGAGCAAGTTCTAAGATGCTTTGCCGTGTAACGCCCGGCAGAATAATGCCATCTAGAGGTGGTGTTGCAAGCTCCTCCTCTAGAAAGAAAAAAAACAGGTTTTTCATCTTAAACTTTTTTTCAAATATTATGTCTATAACGATGAAATTAGAAAGTTGCTGTGAACTGTCATTTTCTTTTAGACCACTAGAGGTCTTCAGTAGAGGAGCTTATGTCCACCATGGAATAAAATAAATAAATAATAATAATAAAAAGGTAACTGTGACTTTATATCTCACAATTGTGACTTTTTTCTTGCAATTAAGAATCGTGAGATATAAACTTGGAATTGCGAGATATAAACTCAGAATTGCAATATAAATTTGTAATTGCAAGATAGAAACTTGCATTTCTGACTTCTGAGAAAATAATTCTGACTTTTTTAAAGTTTTAACACAAGTTTTAACTCTCAGTTCTGAGTTGATAACTTACAATTCACAGAAATGTGAGATAAGACATGTCACAATTACCTTTTTTTATTCTTTAGCAGAAATAAGCTTCCATGAGAATCTAAATCATTGATTGTGGCATTTTGAAGGTCCAGCAAATTTACTTTGACCTCCATATACTTTGACTTCCACATACTCTGTATTTTCTGTTAAAGTAAATATACAGAACCAAAATACTTTGTCTATCAAAACAGAGAGTGAAAAAGTAATGGTTTACAAATGTAAACAGCCATCACCTTCTTTTTCATTGATCCAGTAGAGGAAAAGGTTCATGGTGCCGACCTCTGTGATCTGTTGGTCGTCCCCGTACAGCCACAGAACCTGCTGACAGCCGTAATCCACTGCCTCATTCTGAGCATAGATAGACGCGCCATAGTTCCTAAAAAAATGGAGGTTTCACGTTCACAAACAAAGATCTGTCTTAGCCCTGAAAAAACCCATTTTCTAGTGGCGTTATCATTTCTTCAGAGGTTGACACATACAGCACTGCCTGCTTTGCTGAAACGCTCTGCACAGATTTAAAACATGGCTGTTAGCACGCACAAATCCAAAGTCTACTATGAAGCTTTCAGTATTAAACCAAGCTTGCACATATTTGGATCAAGACTAAGAATGTGCCAATAAGCTTGCAACAATGCTCCTCGTTCAATTAGTGTTTTGTAGTGTTTTTTTTTTTGTAGATACTCAGGCACATTGAAATCTCTCTCATTCACTCACCCTCCCATCTTGCAGTCGCCTGTCCCTCCTCTCCAGGCTCTGATGTATTTGGAGTCAGCCAACAGAGATACTGGTTTAGCTCCCGTGCTGAAGAACGAGCCCACAGGACTGAGGATGACGAACAGCAATGCCTTGGAAGGCTTCTTGACACCAAGGGTGGGCTGCACACACAGGCATATGTAAAGAAAATATAGATTACAGGTTATAGGCTACATAAATTACATGTCTTCATTTATATGCACAGATATGCTTTTGTGAACTGCAAGATATAAAAAGCTAAAAATAGTCAAAATGAGATTATGAGGGATTTGTGTAGCTCTAACCTCTGTGCCCAGGAAGGTGGGACGGATGTACAAACTGGCAGAGTCTGAGTGAGGTACCCAATCCTGATCCACCTCCACCAACTTCCTGATGCACTCCAACAACTCTGCACCATCAAAACTCTACAGAAACAGACATGCAGTTTTGTGTCTGTAACTTGATGAAAACTGAATGTGGATGCAGTAGAGAGGGGAGAGACGTTAATCTTACAGGCAGACAGGCCCTGTGGGCGGACTTCAGCATCCGCTTCATGTTTATCTTGGGTCTGAAGAGACACACTTTGCTATCTGGCCCCCGATACGCCTTCATACCCTCAAAAAGCTGCAGGCAGTACGTATTTACATTTAAACATTTAAAAAATATGCTAATTATTAGCTGTAACAATTGATGTCTAACCACACAGATGAAACTCCAGATGGCCAGGACAGACCTGTACAGAGTAATGCAGGGCAGAACAGCCTGGATGTATGGACAGGTTCCCAAAAGGCTGGATGTGTGGCTTCTGCCAGCCTTCCTCAAGAATCCATCCAATGGTCAGCATGTGGTCAGTGAAGACCGTCCCAAACACCAGGCCATTTGGGTCAGGTTTTGGCTTATGGGTCTGTGCTAACTGTATCACAGTGTCTGAGGCCTAGACAGAACGCAGCCAAAAATAAACAGCATCAGATGACATAATACACCAGCCAAGAGCTTTTTATAGACACAGAATAGGGTCAGTCTGTGAAATCCATCTCTCTATCACTCCATTTAGCTCTGTGGATCACTCTCCCTGACAGAAATGCACTCAAACTTTGAAACTCTGAGATTAGACACTGTCACAGATTACATGTTCCTTTAGAAACCCTCTGTAATCCCAGATTATGGTGGAAAGGTGAGCACCGCACTGCCTCAGCATTTATTAGCAAAGGTTTGTTTAACTGCAGCACAGGCAGATATAAGTGTATATATATATATATATATATATATATATATATATGCAGTTAAAGTAACCATTTAATTAAATTTATATAGTTTATTATAACAATACAATTATATATATACATACACATATATACACATTTTTTTTAATCAAATGTAATGACATCAGCCCATCTGTCTAATTCATGGATTGTCAACTAAAACAATATCAGCTCTGAGACACTGTTTATGGTGCTTTCTTTTTCAGGCGTTGACTCGTAAAGCAGCACGAATCTGAGGACTGTTCTAGTCTGACACCTCAGTTTACGAGTTCTTTGTGAGTACTTGACTATAAATATGCTAGATCCAATTGAACAACCATCTGTAATCTCTGTTGAGTCTCGAGAGCAATCATGTTGGCAGATTTACAGTGGTGGTCAACAGAAGTGCTATTATTGTTGTTGATGATGGTGTTTTCAGTTCTTTACTTAGTATGCTAATTAGTACTTTTACATAGTATAAAGTATGATCAGACACAGTGCTTTCTTAGAAAGCTATCATTTTGTTGAGGTTTCATTGTAATGAGAGGTGCTTTGTGGCCATCAAGTCATTGCCGTGTGTGACCTCATACAGTCCCTTCAAGAAGCTTAAATGTGATTATCCTCATCAATAGACAAACAATGCTTTGCACGCTGCCATGATGAGCCCAAAAATAAACACCTATGCAAAAAGCCTTATTTTAGCACCAGCTCACGTTTGTGCCTTTTGATATGAGATTTCATGTATGAGGTTTTAGAAAGTATGTTGGATGTCCATTACCAGATTGAAGCTTTTTTTTTTTGTTTGATGATATTTCATGTTCACTGATACTCAACCAAATGCTAGTATGTGCTCTTAAAATGATTTAATTTAAGAGTATGTACAATAAGGAATGGTCCAGCCAAAAATGCCAGTACAATCCAACATATGGAGCCCTGTCACGAATATGTTAGTTCGTTTATGTTTATTGGACTTTTAGTTTGTTTTCATTAGCTTCATTGTTTCCTTTGTTTTTTCCCTGTTTTCCACATGTTCCTGTGGCTCAGGTGTAGAGCATTGCAAAAGGTCGTAGGTTCAGTTCCCAGGAAACACACATACTGGTAAAAAAAATGTATATCCTGAATGCATTGTAAGTCGCTTCGGATAAAAGCGTCTGCTAAATGCATTTATTATTATTAATGATTTCCCACTCATCTTTGTTTGTCATGGTTACTAGTGTTATTAGTTTGTTCTGTTCAGCCGTGTATCATTAATTAACCTCGTTTGTCAGTGTATTTAAATTAAACCTTTTCCTGTGTTAGTGGTCCGGTCTCGTCTTTGGAAGTTGCGTTGTTTCTGTACCTGTGGATTATTGTGTGGATCTTTATTAAACTCTGTATGTTTTGGAATTTATCTTTGTCTTCTTCGGTCATTTCTGCAAAGAGTGTGACAAGCCCCAAAGAGGACATGGTGATAGAAGAAAAAAATTTAAATGATTTTGTGTTCACTTGCAAAACATTAGCATTCTCACAAACTGCAAAACTGGTGATGGTCGTATAAAATTGAGGGGGGCTTTATATTTTTGTGAATGTACACAAAAATGGAGAACGCAAAAAGCATTGAAATGTAATTATTCTCCATTTGCAAAATGTACTTGTCACTCTTTCCCATGCAATTACGTATAGGGAATGAGGGACTGGAGCAAGGATGCAAATATATAAGTATTATACATTTCAAATGTCACATTTAAAATAGCAATGCCTGATTTGTGAATGAATCGTTCTTTTTATTTGAATCATTTCAATGAATCAAATGATCAGAATTAAAAACTGTTTTATTTTTAGATATTTCTCTCATCCATACACTATATAAATGCTCTAATTTTGTAAGCAGCCACCAACCTAAGGCATGATTGCAGATATTTGTCTATAATACTATGTTTACTTTATGGCAATGGTGTGATCTAGCCTGTGTTGAAAAGAACTCAGGCTTAATCACCACCTGAGTCAGAGAAAGGTAGAGAGAGACAGAGAGCATGCCCAAAGCCAAGCCAAGCTTGATTGACAAGGCTTACAGTGATCTGAGAGACTGGCTTCTCTTTTCAGCATGGGATCTTGGAAAAGCTAGGACCTTTCTGGTAACTGCCAAAAAGAGAGGTCCAAGGTCACATTTTGGAGCCATGGAGGTCAAAATACGCTATGGAACAAGGAGTCTACCATGAGTCTACTCAAGACACTAAGATTCAACTAAGCTTGTATAGCCACTCAAAATGCTCTTTCATTATGCTATGAATTTTAGAAACAGTATGTGGACACTGAAATGACCATAAGACCATAAGAAAAGTCGATTTATCAGAGAAAGAATCAAGTTTTGACTGAGGAGGAGAGTTTCTAATTGTCTGGTGTATCTATCAAACATCAGAATGATGCCATTGGACATTTCGCTAAAGGCAAGTGCGGTTTATTACACTATATACATAGCAATCTGTAATATGTGTATACAATATGCCTTACCTTAAAGCTAGAGGCATTGCCAGCCATACCATTATTCTCAAATTCCTAAAAGGGAACAAAAATACAACATATAATATGAGCATATGCATATTTGAAGCTGGAATATCCAATCAGATATGCAAACACAATTAATTTGATACATTTCCGAAGTACTTTGGCACTTTAAGTACCTTAAAATGTGAAGGAATGTTACTTAGAGTGCTGATGCTCTTCACTAATTTCTTTTACTGCTCTCTTATAAAAGAATAAGCAATGTTGGTCTTACATTTCCATGCTCTTAACAATGTATTCCCTTACAAAATATCTAGAATATCACTTAAATAACTCTAATTAAAAATTCAAGTAGCTAGTAGAAAAAAAAGTCCTGACTGTCTACAGAACACAACAAGCTCCATCCTGAAACTGAGACCTTTGTATTTAGTTCGTCTGTTTATAGAGTGATCACCAACCAAGTGTCTGCATTTTCTGCTACAGCAACAGCTATAATTATAACATATTTCTTTAGGTCAAACACTGTGCTGTGGTGAACGATAAGATGTTTCCTCACAAGGACGAATGAGCATAGTTTTGTCTAAATAGAATTTACACTGAGTCAGACTCAAGTCAAGTAATGATGACCTGCGAAAATAGACTTTGTACTTTGGAGGTCTAAATGAAGGAGTAAAAAGTATAATTGTTGCCTTAGAAATGTAACTGAGCAAGAGTGCAAGTATTCCGTTTCAATAACACTCAAGAAAAGTGCAAATTATCCAAAATAATACTTAAAAATAATAAGTATATGACAACCTTATAAATATAACCTTTTTACTTTGGAGATCTACAGAATTGTACAGCATTGTAATTTTCAATTGCAATAGATCCCTGCTCCGGAAATTTTTTTTTTTTTAAGTATAGCAAATAAGTACTTAACACCCCTGATGAACTCACCCCCTTACACATCATCATGTTCATCACGAAATGAACTTGAAGTGGCTTGAAACATGAAATGATATGCGAGTGAGTTTTTAGTGACCAATCAGCTGGGTTGAATGAAAGGCGCACCTCCATGCAGTGGATTTGTTGCCTAATGGTCTGAACAGAAGGTGAAGGTTAAAAATAATAGCCAAAGAACAATTAGTAATAAATGCCTTTTTTATAGCTATATCAAGCACAGTAAAAATGTGGAAAACCCTTATCAGATTTCAATTTAATAAAGAATATTTATATATAAAACAATAATTAACAAAAATATAAATACAAAATATGAACATTAGCTTTTTGCTGACAGCATGGTAGTAATCCACGTGCCTTTAACCTGGAAAGAATGTAAACATAAAATGTAACTGGAACTTTATTTTATAATTGAATAAAAAAAAAACAACAACCCTAACAGGGGACTTTGCCTCCTTATTTCATTAGTCTAGTGATGTATCATGCGCGTAAACACAAGGTCAGTCTGACCAACACATACATACATAAAAAAATAAAAAATAAAAATACATGACCTTTGAAGATCATATACACGTTATATAACATATAACACAATATATTGTCTGAGTTGTTGTCCATTTCAATGCAATACATAAAAATTAGTTACACAAAAGTGAAAACCTATGTGCCACGACAGAGAACGGCACAAGCCGACATACGCGGTTTTAGGACACAATATGACTTGGTTTAACTACATTTATCAAACACATGAAGGTTGAAAACATAGACGTGTTTATATTTATGGGTGAAAAAACCCGCTATGAATGCGATGCGCGCCTTTACCTCTTGAGATGATGGTGCGTTCGTGGCTGATGCAACGCTCGCCATGATGAAATGTGCGCCGTCTGTAAACCTCTTTCAGATTAACGTTACACCATATCAAAACCAATGTGCTAAAACAAACAAAGCATGTTTGAGAGTGTACTGTGACGGAAATGCACATTTTGTGCAATCATTAGAAATTCTTGATTATGTGAATGGAGAAAAAAACCTTGGTACTTTAGAAATTATGGGATGGATATCATATTGGTACTTGGCATGGAACATCATATATTTTAAAATATAAGGCACATGATAAGGTACAGCTAAAGCCCTCCCCCCCCTGATAAAAAGCCCTTTTTGTTTTCTTTTCTCCCAAGATACTAAATTGCAACTAACACCACCACAGCAATTTCCTTTACATCTCTTTGTTATTATGCATAGCACTGGCAGAGAGGGCAATTGCAGAATGCCTGTTGAACTGCAATAAATAGGTTTCCATTGACCTGTATTTTTTAGATTTAAAACATATGCACGTGGTTCAAAAAGTTATTATTTAGTTCCTTATTTTTTGCTCTTTATATAGCATATTTTAAATGTGCGTATATATTATAGATATTTTAATAATATGCTCAATTTGAGGGAAAATATGAGGAATCAATGAATCATACAGTGGTGGATGAAGTACCCGAAATCCACACTTAAGTAAAAGTATAGATATCTTAGGCTACCAGAAAATGACTTTGGTAGAAGGAATATTAGAATATTACTTGAGTAAAAGTTTTAAAGTAGGCATAGTACAAGTAAATGCAAAATGGAAAAGGAGCAAATATTTAAAAAATGTTTATACACAGTTTGAGCAGCAAGATTGTGTTCAGTTCGAACTCTTTCTTCCATTTTGTATCTTTCGGTAAGCATAAGAGGCACTTCATCCGGTATTAGTCTCTTTCATTCCAACATAAGAAATCATTTCTGGAATCTGCATCTGAAGTGGCATTTATATGTATTTACACAGTTTAATGACGCTCAGAGAAGACATGCATGCATTTAACCTGCTGTTACAAATGCATAAATAATGCTTTGTTTTAAACATAAATCGTTGACTACTGATATTTGAAATGATTTAAAACATGGAGAAAAAAAAAATAGTTGAAATGTGAAATTAAAACCGCCAGTAGGTGGCAGCAAGTCCCTGTTAATGAGTGAGTCATTGAGATTCAACCGATTCATTCAAACGGCTGATTCATTCAAGAACGACGCTTTTGACTGTCCCTGCGTTCCAGTCGGAAGGGCTCATCCCTATGCCCTAATCTCTTCAAAGGGTTTACCCTCCAGAGTGAGAGCTTCGAAGGGTTGAAGGCACACGAGCAAAGGTGTTTTTTAGCCCTGCGTCCCAATGTTCATATCCATTCTAAATGGTATGTGAGATTAAAATAAGTGCGTCCCAAAGCATAGTATGTTGAAAAGAGTATACCAGAAGGATGGTCTACTATTTCAGGTAGATTTTTGAAGTGTGTGGATCCATGCACACTCTAATGGCTAATATTACCCACAATCCATTGCACTTCGGCGAAGGATTCGGTTCAGAACTACAAACATGAATAAAAAATTAAAAATGCCAAAAACGACAGATGTGCGCGACCGACGGTTAAGTAGAGAGGTTTAGATAAAGGGGTTTGAGTTACTAATAATCAACTTTTAACCTGGTGAAATGATGTTATCTGTTAACTGTGACAAGATGACTGTGACAAGATGACTGACAGGTCAGTTTACGGTGACAGGGTGCGTGTAACTATGCCACAGAGCGGACCATTAAGCAATTGTATGACGTGAAAGTATGTCCAAAGCTTGCCTCTACTCTTCTACTACACACTCAAAAGTGTGTACTTATTCTTCACCAAAAGAGTACATACTTTAAGGGCATAGTATAAGTAGGCACATTGGGACCGATTAGGACGCAGCCAGACCACTGATTCATCAAACCTGCGTTCTTGCAGTCACGTGCTTCGGGGAAATGTAAAAGTATACATTTTAATTAGGAAATGTAGTGGAGTAAAAGTGAAAGTTGACAGAAAACTACAGTAAACTACAGATTCTTCCCAAAAAACTTAAATACTGTTACATTACAGCACTGGAGTCATCCAAGTTCGCCCTCTGTCAGTTGCAGTTCCATCATTGGACGCACGGTGTCAGTGCGCCGCAGGTTTTAATAAGGCCTTCGATCAGCTGGGTGGCGCTTCACACTCTAGTATTTGTGAACCGACTGCGGCGTCAACATTTGAGCTAATTCAGGTGTGTTTGTTTTTCCCAACCTTGGCGTCTCAGTATTTGCTTGTCCTGTATAAATATTATCTAAAGATAACAGACACACCACATGAAACTGAAGGTGGCCGTTATTTTCATCCTGAAAGTGGCACAGACGTTTTACGTCTGTCAGTTTGTGTAAAGTTTATGTTTGATTCGCCATTAGTCGGATTTTGACAGGTTGGTTTGCTTTTTTACTTGTATGGTTTTTGATAGTTTTGGTTGTGTATATATATATGTATATATATATGAAATGAGACTTTGAGAGTATTTTAAAATAAAGGTGTGAGTTTTTGCACTTCTGCTTATTTTTTTCACGTCATCCATATAATGTTAATTAAGCAAATAATGCAGTGACCGTTTAAACATGTAATGGGCTTTTATATTGTATAGCATGTTATCTGTTTTCTATAATTTCATTAACAGGCACAATGCGATTGTGTAAAGCATATAAACTGTATCTAAACTATATATTAATTATACTATGCGATATAGTA